AGTATATTAACACTATAAAAGTTAATTTTAAAAAACACTTTTTTAAGTATCCCTCCTACTGTTTTTCTCACACAAAATAAATGAAAAACATATGAAAACATAGAGTTGCTTTTTGATTTTAGGAAGGGGATCATCATATTTTGTGGCTTTTGGCATTAAAAATATGGAAAACCCCATGCTGATATACTCCTAAATACTGCACATATATTTTTTCTTTATTATTATTATTATTTGCAGATTTGCCCCCCCCAAAAAATGTGTGTAATAAAAGTAAAATGAGTTTCTTGCAACCAACAACCGAGCTTATTGGGAATTTAAGAATAAAAATAAGGGGCGAGCTTTTAGATATGCCCTGCCAACACAGGACAGAAGCTTAAAATGGGAAAACGTGACATAAGTAATAGCTTGTTTTCACATGATTATTTTTTTCCATCAAGGTAAATCAAATTAAACCCTGTGACAGCCGAGATGTGGTATTACAGCACAGTTTTGCACAGCCATCACTACAATAGAACTCAATTTAGTTCATTTCAATTGACTTGAAGTTGCGTTGTGCTTTTGATTAGGGACATTTGATTAGATTAAGCATTTCCACGACCCACGCTAATGTATGACCCTTCGTCAGAGTGGCCTGCCAGAACCTCGCAGGAAGTGCGAGAGCATTAATGCTAGTGCGAAGGTGATCTGATTCAGATCTGAACACCTCAGCGCAGTTGTTAAAATTGGATTCAGCCAAGCAGCTTCGGCATATTAATGACAATAGGTGTTAATTTACCACAAATGTGAGCATCCCAATTAACAATTAAAATTATATACAGTGAGTCCTGAGAGCACATTGAAAATCTACGATTTAAATCTGGAAACAAACTTTAAAAATTAAAACACATTTAGGCATGTCGAGCTTATTAACAACGCTGACCAACTCTATGCAAAACTCTCTTTCCACTCCACTGAGCTGCTTTAGCCAGAGAGATGCAAAGAGAGGGGTAAAAGGAAGTTTAAAAGGAAGTGGTCAAGAAAATCAGGGTTATATATGGAAGGAAATACTGCAAAAATGTATGTGCATGTCAAGTCAAGTCATGTTTATTTATATAGCACTTTATACAATACAGATTGCTTCAAAGCAGCTTAACAGTAATGAAGAGGAAACTAACAGAATCAATAACAGATCAAAAACTTATCTGCCTCAATTGGAGAGCATATGTTTTTTATGTGCATTTTATTCAAATCTTAACATTTCCATCCATTTTTTCAATGCAATATCTCAAATATGCATACAAATATGTAGATGGAAACTTGCTAATGATGCAAACTTCATCAAATATATGAGACAAAGCAGCTCTTTAAAGCAGCTCTAAAAAGACAGTGGTGTCATTATTAAGTTCAGTGTTGGTTCAATTCGGTTCAACAACTGTCTAAAGTTCATAAATTATGAAACAAGTTCAATTCAGGTATAAGCAGTTCTACTGAAGACAACAGTATCATCGTTCAGCTCAATTCATTTCAAGTTTTGTTCTCATCCAATAGTGTCAGTGCAGTCAATCGATATTACTAAATATTTAGTGTCTTTTAAATCCCAACTAAGCAAGCTAAAGTGCAGTACTGCGCAAAAGATAAGAAAACAGAGCAAATGTGTGTGAAATTCACCAAGAAAGTGAGATGAGTAAGTGTGAGAGTGCATGTGTGCATAGGGGTGGCCTCCCATTCTGGTTGCATTCTGGCTGATTGCTGCAGGGATGCGCAGGAAATTTCTCTCACATAACCATGACTAGTCTTATATCCGTGAGCTTTAGTGCCGAACTCTCTCGCCACATGCTGACCCGCTGCCTCTAAATCTCTTACTGAGTCAGACAGGCCCATTATTTCACTTCAGCCTGAGCTTTATTATCTAATGTCGGTCAGAACCGCGTGTGGGGGCCTGTCAAAACGGCTGCTGGCAAATGGAGATTGCCTGTTCCATGATTTACAGGATCAATCAACAGTGGAGACTGCAAGCATTCAAATAAAAATGAAATGGGCCAATATAGTAATGCATTTATGGATGCATCTGAATGATGCAATAAAAGCTTTAGAGCAAATATCTACAACCACTTCCATTTATTTGGTATCACGGGATTGGTTTTCTTTTTTTTTTGCATCAATTTGCATATAGAATTATGATTGGCCTGGTCTTCGTTGCATATTTTTAAATGCTTATTTGATTGTACCTTTCCTTGAGTGTGTAATATAGCTGTTTGTGCATCTGCAGAGTTGCAAACCACAGAAGTTCACATCAAAGGGAGTTCATCTCTCCAACATAGAACCCTCATCGTTTGTAGTCCTGCCATTTTTCTGTGACTTAGCTTAATCACAATGTTATACATTTGCATAATGCCTGCCTAGTGGCTGCTTTAGCCCCACCCTTAAAAAGCAGTTGAGTAAGTGATTTTGCCATACTGAGGAAACCCTTTTTTTTGTAAAATGGCACAGCTTTTTAAATATCTGAAAGTACACTCTTAACATCAGTCATTCAAGCAGTCAAGCATTATGATAATCAAGTATTATTTAATAATAGAAGTTTAGTAATAAGAATTAAAACTTGGTAACCATGTATAAATGCAAATTAGTAATTTTAACTGAACTTAGGACTGGTGGTGGTGAATTTTTTGGTCATGCAGTGTTCCTGTAAAAAATTGGAAAAAACGAACAATAATACTGATAATAATAATAATAATATTATTAATATTATTATTATTATTATTATTATTATACAAATTCTACTAATA